CTAAGATGGGTGGCATTTAAAGATAGTTTATCACAATTATACCACTTTTATGGTCACAGTTTTCTTTCTGTTCTAAGTTTAGGGCTTCATATTAAAAGTCAATGTTTTGGTTTAATGAGGGGATAATGAATGAACTCATGTGTCCATACTAGATACCAGCCTTGGACACCTTAGCAGTGGATTCAAGTATTTTATAAATAATTTATGAGGCACTTTAAAGCCTGACTGGGGAAGATATTCACCTTTTAAAAATCTATACACTAAAGCTCATTGATCATAACTGAGATTTATACAGGCAGTTCTGCCTTGAGACAGATAAGCTTTTTATTTTTTAAACAAACAAAAAGCCTAATCAGTACCACTGTTTGTCTGAGACTGCACTCCAGCAGTCCTTGCACTCATTGCAGCTGTAGTAGCAGATTGGTCCTAGCATGAATCTTTGCCACCTGTCCGCAGAACACTGAATATTATTAAAAAATTGCTTTTATTTTTCTGATAAACACTAGAAACCAAAAAGAGGGAAAAGTTTTCTTGACTTGGGATTTTCAGTGACTCAAAGGGACTTAAAGATGCAATACCCATTTTGAACATATTTGAGTGTCTAATTTCTTTAAAGCTAAATCCAATTTCACATGACACACCAAAATGGTATGTACCCAGATGCTAAACCACTGTTTTTGGCATATATACCCACTTCATGACTCAGCCCTGGGCTTGCAAGCTTATACCCACTCACAAGGGCAGTGCTCTGGCTTAGTCATTATGTGGAGAAATTTGCTGAACTCTTGTTGGCTTTGTGGCATTGTGTGTTAATCAGGCCAACATGTAATAAGTAATAAAACAGGATACATCACATGTTATTCACAGATGTGACAATGAATTGTGTGTGCCATCTAATCATCTATACAGGATCAAGGTGTCCTTATGTGCGTACCCTCCCTTCTGTGCATACTTGAAATCCATGTATGCACAGAAGGCAGGGTAAGTCCTGAAATTTCAATCTCAAAAACTACAACTAGTCAGTTTTAGAGCTCCTACCCAATGATTGTTCAGGAAATGGAAGAACTAGGTTCTACATTTCACTCACCCAGAGCTGGTTTGAACATACACACCAGCAAGGTGCTTCTAACTACTAGGCCACTGGCTAGACGTTACCCAAACTGTTCTGTAACCTTCCCATGAAAGCTAAGTCACTGCATCTTACATGTAATACACAATGCATAAACAGAAAAAGGAAAGTTTCTGTCTCATTTAGAGTAGCAGCATAAGTGAGAACCCACAACCTCTTCCCATTCAGAATACCAGCCATCTCACTGAGCCACACATTCTCTGGCCATATTCTTCTCCACCTGGCCTCACAAAGCTCTCTTGTTTGGCTACCAGATGCTTAGGTGGAGCAGGGTCAGAATTATGCCTAAAATGTCTCCTGGTAGTTTAAATACTCTGTTAAATAAAAGGAGATATCTGTTTAAACCCTTTTTTGATGAAAATGGCCAAAAACAGGACTCCAATTCCCTGTGCAAGTGCCCTAATCACTACTAGGGTAAAGGGTAGAAGGATCCTCATTTCCCAAAACCTGATAGCTGTGGCTTTTGTGAAACCAACGTTTGGCGACTTAGCTGGAGGTGAAACATCCAGGGTCTGAGCCGTGTTGTCAAAGATTTGGCCAGCTGCTGTGGCCGTAGCAGCTGGATCAACATCAGCAATGGCTCCTACACATACACTCCCTCTAAGCAGCCATCTGGAGCTGGTGTCCTGATCATCCACTACTTATGACTGCTGAATTTATCTGACTTGATACTCAGACCTAGACAAGCCTATTTTGCCATGTTGCTACCCAGCCAAAGTACAGCCCCATTGAGTAAGATCAGTAGGAATATGCATGCTTAAACAAACACAGATAACTTGCAAACTATGTATAAGTGCCAAATTCCGTAGTTATGTGGCTGCATACGTTCCATTTAGGTCCATAACATGAAATAGCATTTAGCTTTTACTCCCTTTGAAAATCTCAATATTGATTTTCTTAATGAATCAGCTTAAGATTTCTTTTTTTTCTTACAATTTTTATAAAGTTTTATTCCTATACATTTTCAATGTCGTGGCGATTCAGTCAACAATCTCTCATTGCCATAATATTTCTACAAGGTGCAAAAGTGAAGGGCACATTTACAGAAACATTATGTGGAGAATATTCAAAGCAGCTAGCTTTCTATAACACTGGGGATGATCTTGGTTTAAGCAGGGGGTTGCACTAGATAACCTCCTGATGTCCCTTCCAATGCTAATTTTCTATGATTCTATAACACACCCAGAAAAAATATGTCGTTGATTGGGCAAATTAAATACCAAAATATGTTCAGGTATAGATTATTGATGTTAAGAACAGTTACTTTCTTTGATTTTTTGCTATACTATTGCATTCTTTATTTCTCAAAAACATTAATAAAACATGAATAAATCAACTAGAAGCCTGATAGAAAAATGATTGAAAATGAGCAAATGTTCATTCGGTATACAGAATGGATAAAAGTAAAATGTTCACAAGCAAAACACAACAATGGTGTGTCATGCGACTACAACAAAAAGAAATATAACAATATTGGCCAAATTGTCCTGTCAGTTACACATGGTTAGAAACTTTTGACCTTAACAATATCTGCATCCCTGTCCTCAGATAAATTGATTTTGAGTGTATTATCATATATTGTCATGCAATGAGGGGTGGAGTATTCACTCCTGGCTTTTTGGGCAAAATTAACAGCAAAATAAAGACCTCTGTATTTATAATTGTGATTTTGGCGGTCATATAGATGAGTGATTGCAACTGAAAAGCCTGATGCTATGAACTGCCGAGTGGTTCCTTGTGCCCTTGCAGTTGTGGCAGAACAATATCTTGCAGGAATGTAAGTAAGAGAGTATTAAGAAGGATTTTGGGATGGTGTATATTAATAGTAAGACAGAAGGGAGATAAAGAGTTCAGTGTGGTAGGTAAAGTAACATTTGAGCTAAGAAGTTTCTGGTAGAAATACTCAGAGAAGATGGGAGTAGAACAGAAAGGTCCTGTTTCTTCTACATTTTCTTTATAACAATTTGTTTTTTTCCTCCATCACTCTCAGTCCAAGTGCTGCTACTCTGCTGCCGGTTGTAATTTCTACTCCCACATTCTTATCCTTGTCTCTCTTGACTACTCTATACATCTCAGTTTGTCTATTTGATCATCATTAATCATCATCACCTCAATTACTTTTTTTTTCTTTTTTCTTCCTCCCATTCTCTAGGGTATTGTTTTTCTCCTACTACCTCTCACTTTGTATTTAATGCATCCAAGAGCTACATTCAAATAATGGCAAGGATTTAAATCAGGAAACCCCCCCAGGGGCACATGGAATAAAGTGTTTTCTCTATCCTTAACTCACCCTCTTATACATAAATATTGTAGAAAATGTAAAACAAAGCAAGATTCTATGTACAGGACACATGGGTACACCTAAGGACAAAGTTGTAGTCTTAACTTGTACTTTCTTCATTTTGTTTTCATGGGAATGAATAGGCATCATGTTAACTGTCAGAATGAAAAAAACTCACCATGAATTATTCGCTGCAAGGCTAAAACATTCAGAACTTAGGAACATAAGTGTGGAAGGGGTTTAAGGAGCTTCCCAGGCTATCAAGTCCAGTCCCCATTTACAAGCACACATTTGTCACACACAAGAACATTCACTTTGACCCTTTCACAGAACATATCCAAAAGGGGGCCTATAAAAAACACGTCACAAGAATGAGCAGGAGAGATGAGGGGACAGCCAATCCCTCAGCCACTGTAATAGCAGAGAAATGATCTTAGGAAGGACCATATTCCATGATCTAGAAGGCATGTATTATTGAAAAAGATACACACTAAAAGGTGCGGGGGAGGGGAGAAAAATACTGTTAACTGTATTACAAATACATTAAAAATGAAAAGGTAAACAGTAGTCATAGCCCCACAATGGGTTGGGCACAAAAGAATATGTCAAGCAAAATCACCTTCATAACCAGAGATTATGGCTAAGACTAAGGGCATACTGGACTGCATTGGTAGGGGTGTTGCCAGCAGATCAAGAGAAGTGATTATTCCCTGCTATTCAGCACTGGTGAGGCCACATCTAGAGTACTGTGTTCAGTTTTGGACCCCCACTACAGAAAGGATGTGGACAAATTGAAAAGAGTCCAGGGGAAAGCAATGAAAATGGTGAATGAGCTAGGGCACATGATCTATGAGGAGAGGCTGAGGGAACTGGGATTTTTTAGTCTAGAAAAGAGAAGATTGAGAAGGGATTTAATAGCAGCCTTCAAGTACCTGAAGAAGGTTCCAAACAGGATGGACCTAGACTGTTCTCAGTGGTGGCAATGACAGAACAAGGAGCAATGGTCTCAAGTTGCAGCAAGAGAGGTTTCAGTTAGATACTCAGAAATGTTGGGGCAGGGGGCGGGGGTTCTCACTAGGAGGGCAGTAAAACACTGGAACAGGTTACCCAGAGAAGTTGTGGAATCTCCATCCTTGGAGGTTTTTAAGACCCAGCTAGACAAAGCCCTGGCTGGGAGGATCTAGTTGGGGATGGTCCAGGATATAGTTGGGGATGTTTTGAGCAGGGGTTTGAATTAGATGACCTCTTGAAGTCCCCTACAGTCCTACTTTTCTATGATTGTATTATTTTATGGATTTGTAATAATTTTTTTTTCTCTTCAGACTCAATACGATATAAATGGTTACATTGTGATTCTTCCATTGGAATTATGGGGAATATTCTGAACTTACTTATACCAGTGTGAAATTAGAGCAATTCTACAGAAGTTAGGAGATAGGCTACAGTATTACATCAGTATGACTGAGATAAGAAGTGGAATGAATGATATCTCTTAAAAATGTTTTTTGGAGGGATTTTTCAGTTTTCTTGATGTGTACTTGTATGATACACTATTACAGCTCCTTCTGTTTCAAATGCTGTTTTTCACAGTAATTGAAAATGGAAGGTTCTACATTTCAGGATGGATTATTAAGCAGATACAGCTCTCCACTGCAGGAAAAAGAGGTGAGTTCCTGTATCTGTACATTCATCAATGGTTTAGCTGTAGTCATCAGTGTCTCACCTGGAGAAATGAAGCGTGAAATTGTTTTCCAACATCCTTTTCCATAGGAAACCACTCCCTCCTCCTCTGAAAAACACAATAGAACTTGTAAAGTTTTGAAAAAAAAGAACTATTCATTATGCGCTTTCTGTAAGTATGCCATGTACATTTGTGGCACAAAATCAACTGTTGTTGGCAATAAACTGTTTAAAATAAATTTGGGAAAGTATGACCTTTAAATATTCAAAATCCTGGAATTTGATCCATGTGAAATTTGGACTATGTGGATTTCTCTGTAGTAGTATTTATTTACTAGCAATTTCACTGTATTGAATGTATTCCAAAAACTCAGAATAATTACTATGTTTTAGTTAGAACAGGTTTTTTATTGGGTTGAAATTTAGTTCCTGTTGCAAACAGCAGTAGCTAATGCTTGTACATTTAGGCTGGATCAGAAAGTGATATAGCTACTACCTAATAGCTGTGTTTTTAAAACAGTATTCCCTGCACAGAACTAAACTAACAAGTTTATATTTTAGAGGATCAAAGTGGTCCATTCCAAAATTTCTGACTTTGAAGGCTGTATTATTTCCTGGCTGAGTTTTTCTGTTTTTAAACAATGATGTTTCATTAATATGTTTATGTTAGTATTACAAAGACTTAAATGATGTAAATTATTCTCTACTAGTATAAATGAGCAAAATCATCTTGTAGTTAGTGGAGCTGCAGCCATTTTCCTCAGCAAAGATTTGGGTCCCATCTTCTAAAGATCATTTTTAGTTTTTATAAGTACACTAAAATATGCAGCTGAATTTATCCATGTGCTGGAGCTGCCTCAAAATGCTACAGTGGCACAAAGCTAATGCTAAATAGCTAATTAGATTAATTAGCTATTTAAAGATACCTCCTGCCTAGGGGAATCTCCAAGTTGCTTACTGCCAGTGCATGGGGGCACAAGTATATATTTAAAAGAGAGATTTTGAGAAACATTTGATATGTCCTGAAAATTTCTGGGTACCATTAATTCCTACTGGTGTCATTAGGGAATAAGGCTGTGTTTATCTTCCAGGAGAAGCTCTAAGTTGCAGAATTTGTCCCTAAGTACAGGTGACCTTACAAAACAGTCAACTGCTGAGTAGTAGATTCATAAATAAGAGTGTCATTAAGTTAAATTGTCACACATTCCATTGCAATTACTTTACATTATAAAGGACCTCAGGATTCAGAGAATCAACCTGATAGGTAAACTCAGATGTTCAAAGTCTGTTAGAATCTCTAAATCTGGTATGTTATAGGTTTTTTTGATACAAGGGTAAGTACTAATTCTAGGCAAATGCTGTAAAAATATTCAGCAAATATACATTCATTTGTAAATTAATTCACATTGGCATTCTCTGCTCCCCTTTGGCGTGGCTTTCAGCAAATATTCAAATCAGTAAAGTTTATTTGAAAATGTTGATCTGGTTGTGGAAAATTTGTGAACAGAAAAAGAGATTAATTTTATAAATTATTCACTCAGATCTAGTATTGTGTGTAGTATTGTCTCTATGTGCTCAGGGCACCAGCCTTACTGAAGTTAATATGGGATTTGTTTGAGAATTATATTTTATTGGACAGGGAGGAAGAAAAACAAGATGCCAGGGATGCAATTTTATTGCTGTAGCAGTGGAAATAAGGATGTATTCATGCAAACTAATGGTGAGGCCTTATCTGGAATAGCATGTACAATTCTGGTAACCCATGTTCAAGACAGATGAATAAAAATGGCAGAGGTGCCAGAAAGGGCTGTTGGGATGATCAGGAGACTGGAAAGGCATAAGAAGATGAAGTCTGACAGTGAAGATCTTTGATCTATACACAAACTTTGGAAGGGGTGGGAGGATAAATATCAAAGAGGAAGCAAGAAAGCAATGGGCAGTGTTTCAGGGATATAGGTTGTTGCTGTATTGGTCTAAGGACATAGGCAGACAAGGTTCTTTGAGTAAATCTGATATCTTTTATTAGACCAATTCAAATAATTGGAAAAAATTCTTCTTTGGAAGCTTCCAGGTATAAATACTCTTCCTCAGGCTGAGGAAGCATCTGCAGCTGGCCTGTGAAGCCAGAGGCTGTTATGCATACAAAAAAGCCAGTACTGAAAATGTAAGTTTGATTCTGGTGACAAGGTTAGCCAAGTTCAGTACTTGTTTAAAGGCTAGGATGGGTGGTTCTGGGAGGATCTCTTTAAGAACTGGGCCTTCTAGTATGGCTTGCAATTGTTCGAGGATTTTCTGTATAGGTTCCAGGGAGGAATGATATGTCATTACCAGTGGTGTGTGATTCATGGGGGTTTTCCTTCTGTGCTACAGCAATTCTTCACGTGGTATCTGGGTGGCTCTTTCAAAAATGCGATCTATCTCTCTGAAGGAGCGTCACTGTTGAGTGAAAGCCCTTTTGAGGTTTGTGAGGTGCCAATCATAGGTGTTCTCAGTGCAAATTCAGTGGTATCGGAGGGCTTGGCTCTATATTACAGCTTTCTTGGTGTGTTTAGGGTGATTGCTGGTTCTGTGCAGATATGTAGGGTGGCCTATAGGCTTCTTGTATATAGTGGTTTGTATTTTACCATTCTGGATAGTGATCAACATGTCTAAAAAGGAGATGTTGGTGCTAAAGTATTCAAGAGATAGTCTGATAGAGGACTGATGATTGTTGAATTTCTGATGGAAATCAAACGGATTGCAGATTTTCAGTCCAAATGGTGAATGTGTCATTGATATATCTTAAGTTTAGCAAGGTTTGATGGTTCAGTCATTGAGGAAGTCTTCTTCCACGTGGCTCATAAAAAGGTTGGCATACAAGCAGCATTTAAAATAACACAGAAGCAAGAAAATACCTGAGACGATCAATTTCTGTAACTTTAACAAAATAATTGGCTGCCTTTTCTGGCTCCAGAATACATATCTGCAATACTAGTGATCCACTGCTGTTGCAATTTAAAATTCCTGGGCTATTAACAACTGTTTACTATACTCATCATTATCCAAGAAAGAGTTCTTATAGATGCCATCTTGCTTTGAAATGGACAGCGAAGTGCATACTATGTTGCTGGATCTAAATGCTCCAAGAGTCAGAATCCTGCAGCTGCACAAGATCCTATTTGCTTCATTGAAGCTTCATGTAGGTTCAGGATTCTGTGTAGGTTCAGCTTTTGTTTAATCTCCTGCAAAATTAGGGCCATGTTGAGCATGGGAATGCAGTATGGAAAAACAATGAATGATCTTAAATCATTTTGGAGGCCGACAGTATGACCAGGTTAAAAGAAGAAAGGGATAAATTAATAGATGATAGTTCTAGTAATGGCTATTGAACAGAATAGTTGGAGATATTTCCTCTGGCATCTCTAAACCAGTAACAGTGGAGGAAGGAAAGATATTGAATAGGGGATTGATCATTCTAGAGATATCTGGTTCAGGGCAGATATATAGCAACCATTTCTGCCACTAGATGGACCAGTTTTATAATCCAGTATGGCAATACTTGTGTTATTAAATATTCAGTATATTGAAGTATGTCTAGTATATCCAGTATCCGATATATTGAAGCTACTTTAGTTAGCTATCCTAACCTCTGTTTACCTAGTGTCCCCCTCTCTGCTATTGTTGGCAAACAGAACTTTTATGCCATTTTGTAAATGTCTTAGTGGCCACATGCACTTAACTGTGGAGTACAGTAATTAGCTGCGGAGTAAAGTGTCACTGTTTACATGTGGATGGTATTATGCCACAGTAAACTAATTTATGCCAGGGACAGTACTATCTTATGGCAGAGTAATTAACTGTGATTAAACACATGTGTAGATGCTGACCACAGGCATAAATTGTGCCCAGTCAATCTGGCTAGCAGGGTGCCAGACTCCTGCCTGCCACTAGCAACATGGATCTCCACTTATAGAACCCTTGTGCCCCATCCAGCCCCTCTGCTGCCCAACACTGCCATCCAGAGTCCAGGGCTGACCCTCCATGTTCCCTGCCACCTGGGCTTGCTCTGCCTTATTCAAATTGCTTTTTGTACTGGCACACATATAGGTGCTGCACCAGGGAGTAGTTTACTCCAGTTCAAACTGCTGCGGACTTTATTGCTTTGAATTAATCGCATGTGTAGATGCACCCAGTGTATATTTTTGAAGATCTATGTGATAACATATGCACTGTCATCCAAATAAAACCTATAAAATAAATGACGTTCTTAGTCACTAATTGGCTTTAGGAATATTTACCAAAGTTTGAGCAGCATTTGAACAAATACTGGGAATTCTGCAGAGATGTAAGTGGTTCTGAGTAGAATTTTCTAATGATTTCACTGGGAGTTCAGAGCTTCATTAGCATTGATGCTTTTGAGGTCCCACCCATTTATGTCATGGACCACCTGGGTGTTCTTGGGGACTGGGGCTTGGGTTCCTCTGAGATTTGGAAGTTTTATAAAATGTTAACAGATGACAATGGGAATTTAGTCCAGTCTTGAGTGGTTTAACATCTTCTCTTTTTACAGAACAAAATAGAACAATGTAATAGAACACTTGCGTTCTTACAAGTCCAAGTTTGTGGTAGTACAACAAACACAAAGCCTGCTGGCATCTCATTGATTACTCTATTTATATGTTGTACTTAGCCCCTTTTTGTCTGTCTTGTCTATTTACACTGTAAAGTCCAGATTTTAAAGGTATTTAGATGGAAGACTCCTACTGAAATCAATGGGACCAGGGATTGTCTCTTGTCATGTCTCTGTAAAATGACTTTGAGGCTCTGTTTTTGACTGTCCTTAAGTACTAACTTCAGAATAAATGTTAGAGTGGAAGCAAAGCTATTTAAATGGTTAATCAAAATGTTTAAATAAAAAAAGCCTGAGAATCTAAATATGAAACTTCACACTTATATGTAAGCCAACTGACTCAATAATTTTCCAGTGATTTACAGCTTTATGCTGT